TGAAACCCCCAACATATAGGTAAACATTTGGGTGGTGGATTAGGTGGAATGGAAAAGGAGAGAAGAAGGAAGGAAGGAAAAGAACAAGAAAAGCAGTTGCTAACTCGCAAAAGTCAGTATGTGCGTCATTCAGGATCCCATAGCAAACAGAGGACATATGCAAACTGTGTAAGTTGAGAAGAGTTTAATAAAGTGACTACAGGCAGGCAGACCTCGTTTTACTGTGCTTCACTTTATTGTGCTTCCCAGGTATTGTTTTATAGAAATTGAAGGTTTGTGGCAGCCCTGTGTCAAGCAAGTCTATCACTGCCATTTTTCCAAAGCATTTGGTCACTTTGTGTCTCTGTCACATTTTGGTAATTCTTGCAATATTTCAAACTTTTTCATTATCATTGTTATTATTATATTTGTTATGGTGATCTGTGATCAGTGATCTTTGATGTTTCTATTGTAATTTTTCGGGGGAGCCAGAAACCACATCCATATAAGATGGAGAACTTAATTGATAAATGTGGTGTGTATTCTGACTGCTCCACTGACTGGCCATTCCCCTGTCTCTCTCCCTTTCCTCAAGCCTCCCTATTCCCTGAGACACAGCAATACTGAAATTAGGCCAACTAACAACCCTACAATGGCTTCTAAGTGTTCAAGTGAAAGAAAGAGTTGCATGTCTCTCACTTTAAATCAAAAGCTAGAAATGATTAAGCTTAGTGAGGAAGGCATGTTGAAAGTCGAGATAGGCCGAAAACTAGGCCTCCTGTGTCAAACAGTTAGCTAAGTTGTGAACACAAAGGCAAAGTTCTTGAAGGAAATTAAAAGTGCTATTCCAGTGAACACATGAATGATAAGAAGGCAAAATAGCCTTATTGCTGATGTGGAGAAAGTTTTATTGGTCTGGACAGAAGATCCAACCAGCCATGACATTCCCTTAAGCCAAAGCCTAATCCAGAGCAAGGCCCGAACTCGCTTCAATTCTGTGAAGACTCAGAGAAGTGAGGAAGCTGCAGAAGAAAAATCTGAAGCTAGCAGAGGTTGGTTCATGAAGTTTAAGGAAAGAAGCCGTCTCCGTAACATCAAAGCACAAGGTGAAGCAGCAAGTGCTGCTGTAGAAGCTGCAGCAAGTTTCCAGAAGATCTAGCTGAGATGATTAATGAAGGTGGCCACACTAAACAGCAGATTTCTGGTGTAGACATAACAGTCTTCTATTGAAAGAAGATTCCATCTAGCCTTTTCATAGCTAGAGAGGAGAAGTCAATGCCTCCTTTCAAAGGACAGGCTGCCTTGCTTGTTAGGGGCTAATGTAGCTGGTGACTTTAAATTGAAACCAATGCTCATTTACCCATTCCAAAAATCCTAGGACCCTTAAGAATTATGCTAAATCTACTCTGCCTGTGCTCTATAAATGGAACAACAAAGCCTGGATGACAGCTCATCTGTTTACAACTTAGTTTACTGAATATTTTAAGCCCACTGTTGAGAGCTACTGCTCAGAAAAAGATTCCTTTCAAAATGTTACCACTCATTGACAATGCACCTCATCACCCAAGAGCTCTGATGGAGATATACAATGAGACTAATGTTTCCACACCGGCTACCACCACATCCATTCTGCAGCCCATGGATCAAGGAGTAATTTCAACTTTCAAGTCTTCTTATTTAAGAAATACATTTCATAAGGCTATAGCTGCCACAGATTGTGACTCTTTTGATGGATCTGGGCAAAGTAAACTGAAGACTTTCTGGAAAGGGTTCACCATTCTAGATGCCATTAAGAACATTCGTGATTCATGGGAAGAGGCCAAAATATCAACATTAACAGGAGTTGGAGGCAGTTGATTCCAACCCTCATGGAAGATTTTGAGGGGTTCAAGACTTTTGTGGAAGAAGTAACTGCAGATGTGGCAGAAATAGCAAGAGACTAGAATTAGAAGCAGAGCCTGAAGATGTGACTGAATTGCTGCAATCTCATGATAAAGCTTTAACAAACGAGGAGTTGCTTCTTATGGACAAGCAGAGAAAGTAGTTTCTTGAGATGGAACCTACTCCTGGCGAAAATGCTGTGTAAGTTGTTGAAATGACAACAAAGGATTTAGAATATCACATAAACTCAGTTGATAAACCAGCAGCAATGTTTGAAAAGACTGACTCCAATTTTGAAAGTTCTACTGTGGGTAAAATGTTATCAAACAGCATCATATGCTACAGAGAAATCGTTTGTGAAAGGAAGAGTCAAGCAATGTGGCAAACTTCATTGTTGCATTATTTTAAGAAATTGCCACACCCACCCCAGCCTTCAGCAACCACCACTCTAATCAGTCAGCAGCCACCAACATCGAGGCAAGACCCTCCACCAGCAAAAAGATTATCACTCGCTGAAGGCTCAGATGATGGTTAGCACTTTTTAGCAATAAAGTATTTTTTAATTAAGGTATGTACAGTGTTTTTTTAGACATAATGCTATTGCACACTTAATAGACTACAATATAATATAAACATAATCTTCATATGCACTGGGAAACCAAAAAATTTGTGTGACTTGCTCTATCGCAATATTCGCTTTATTGCAGTGACCTGGAACCAAACCCACAATATCTCCAAGGTATGCCTGTATTTACAAAGGCGTGAGAAGTGTTTGGGAAAACCAACAGGGGATCCTCTAGTCCCTTAGAAGTTGTGGCAACAGGCGGCCATTACCACCATCTGGGGCCGAAGGGGCATGTGAGGGTGGCTACCAGAACCTGGAGTAGGCACCTATATGCAGAAAACCTCCAGACAGGCACTACGGACCTTGGTAGGAAGAGGCAGTAAATCTATTGTATCTATTGTGACTGGCAAGGAGGGGGATGACTTCTCTCTCCTCCTACCCTCTGCTCTCCTGTTGGTGCATCCCATTGGCCAACCCAGCTGCAGGCCAGAGAGCTAGGGGACCCATTGATGTGGCCCCCAAAGGTCAGCTGCCCGGGACTCAGAACAGGGTAGAAGGGGCTGGAGAAAAGTCCTAATGGGACAATTGGATGATATCCAACACAGAGTACTATAACATTAAATGAAAAGGTAGAATATAAACTCCATCTATCATTTTTCTTTTTATATGTAAAAACTAAATATTTACATGGATAAGAATTAAAGGGTTATCAAATGACAGTATTGATTTGTTTTTGTGATAGTATCTTGGATTCTAGTTAATTAAATCCAGTATCTTCAATAATAATCACATTTAAAAGATTTGTTTCTTTTTTCTTTGCAGTAAAACAGACCTGAGTTAAAATTCTGACTCTACACTCGCTATTTCTCTAAATTCCTCATGTCTAAAATGGGAATGATAAAAGTACCTACCTCGTAGGGCTGCTATGAGAATTAAATGAGGTAATAGATTTTGAGGTCTTACAACAGTGCTTGACACATATTAAATGGTTTAAGTGTTTACTGTTATGGTCACAACGGGATTTCAAGAGCTTTCTAATGGGTCTACCTGTCTCTGTGCCCCCTCTCCAATCTACTCACCATCCTCAAGCCACAGCAAGCTCCCTTTAAAGGGTACACCTGATCATGTCACTCTCTTACTTGAAACGTGTCCATAGTCTCCAGACCTTGCAGGACAATACTCAAACCTCACCCTTGCAGGTATCTCCAGTCTCATCCTTCTCCACTCCTCCCTTTGTGCCTTCATTCCAGCCACACCAATTCCTTCTGGTTCTGCACAAGCGCCATGTTGTCCCATGTCAGAGCCGCTGTTTGGAATGTCTTTTCCATACTATGCTACTTTCCTACCTTGCTAACTCTTACTACTCATCATTGAAATTTCAAGTGTCACCACCCCTGAGAAGAGTTCCTGCTACCCCACCACCACCACCACCAGTCTGATTTATAAGAAGCTTCCTCCTCATCCCATCATATTCCATGCAAGCTGTATCACGCCATACTCCAAATCATGAGTGTACTGATCCCCCCATCAGCAGTAGGCCCCTCAGAGGTAGCCATATGAGCTTTGTCTCTGGACCCCAGCACAGAGCATAGAACCTGCTGAGATGGATACTTAGTCATGATTTGTCTAAGAATTAAATTTATAAATGAATGACTTAAGTAACTGACCCAAGGTCACTTAGCTAAGCGAGTGGCAGAGGCAGAATTCAACCCCACCTCTGTTTGACTCCAAAGGCCATCACTGTCTCCCAGCAATCTGGAAGTTCTAAGACTGTCTGACACTCCAGAATAGCTACATGCCTGAGGGAACTCCCTAGGGGCACTAGACTAGTTCAGGCCAGAATGAGCTGGTCAGTAGAGACCGGGAGAAATAAATGCCTCCTTTCTGGGAGTATCAACCACATGACATTTGCTTTGTCAAGGGACTTTCCCAAGAAAATCAATTTCTGGAGCATGTTAAAATATAAACAAACCACCACTCACCCACCCACTCCTTAAAGACAATTGGTCCAAAGAGATCTTAGAGAATTCAGACAATTCCACAATGTTGAGAGCACCATCTGATCACACGAACTTTGTTTTCCCTAACCAAGCATTTTTTGACTGAATTTTTATTTTAAATTTGGCTGCACTGTGAAATGTGCATCCCCATACTATACTGTTTCACCCAAGGCAAACCTGTGTGCACAGCCACAGATACAGTGGGGATTCATGACATATGCACCATTTGAGATTTGCTCTTATGGCTCAAGATGATGTTACCAGAATCCCTTGATAACAGTGTTTATACCTATTTATAACTGTAACCTATTATCCTACCTTCCATATAATTGGATGCGACTAAAGTTAAAAAAAAATTCAGCTGCATAAGAAAAGTCATGCTCTTATAGAGCAGATGTTCGCTCAGCATGGGAAGTGAATTAGCCTTTAACACAAATGCCCAGAAATACATACGGTGCTTTTAGAAAAAGCAGTGACATTAATATTTTATATTGAAAAATAATTTTGAGATAAAGGATATTAAAAATGGAAGGGAGGTAGCCACAGCTGGTTTTTTAAATAAGTGTTAATTTTACCTCTTTAAGGTACGATCTTGGTTCCAATTCAGGCACCGGATTTATTCTCCAGTTCAGGGCACAGAAAAATGACTCATAATTTATTTGTCCTTCACTGTCTTCAAACCTGAAAATATAATTGTAATATATTATTTGATGCAATCTGAAGAATTCAGGACCAGAATGACAGCTTACATGCTGCCATGAAAACATAATATTAGGTATGCTTCAATATCTGATATTTTCCTTGTTTATTATTAGTTTAATAATCTGTTTCTAACTTTCCAGAAAGTAAACTCCTCGCAAGCAGATATCTCACACACCCAACTCACCAAAGTGTCCCCAACACCTAGATCAATGCTGGCACTTAGCAGGTATTCAACAAATATTTGTTGCAGTTGCCACAGAAACAAATTAGTTTATTCAGTAACTAAGACCATTGCTATATTTTGTTAAGAATATGTGAAGGTCTTTTTAATTTAAAATGGTTAATATTATATGTCAGTAAAATAAAACGTCCTTATATTTCTTAAATTTCATGTCTTTTAAATCTTAAAGGCAAGTCTAGATTCATTTTGTCTACTAATATATTTTTAGGAAAAATAAAAGGCATCTTCATCATTTATTATGTAGCCATTAAAAAGGGTTATTTAGATCCATATATGCTGTCATGCAAATATGTTCATGACACATTGTTAAGTGGAAAGGAAGTTATAAAATAGTATGTAGAGTTATGATTCCACTTTAGGTCTATATTTGTATAAAATGGCCTAGAAAAAAGTCTAGTAATAATACACTGAAGTATTAAGAACAGCTATCTCTGGGAAGAGAGATTATGATTTTTGCCTTTTCTTTAGACTTTTCTGTATCATCTGAATTGTTTTAAATTTATAATTGGAAAAAATAAGCCCATTTTCATTTTGAAAAAAATAAATGATTATCGTGCATCATAAAACTATAAGTCAAAAATAACTAATCTATTTGACTACTATTTTGTAATGATGAACACTGGCATAAATTTATCCTTAACCATAACAGACTTTTTGCTAAGACCCAATAATTTCAACAAAATTGCTATAATGACCTAACACAAACAAAATACTTCTTAGTGTAATACCTCAATGCTACCTATTCTGAATTTGACCACATTCTGCCAATTTTTAAGGCTAAATATAAACTGGTTATATAACATAATTTTTGTTGTTGCTGATGTTGTTGAGTAAGATTCACCCTCAGCTAACATCTGTTGCCAATCTTCCTCTTTTTTTTTTTCCTTGAGGAAGATTCACCCTGAGCTAACATCTGTGCCAATCTTCCTCTATTTTGTATGTGGGACACTGCCACAGAATGGTCACCAACAAGTGGTGTAGGTCCATGCCTGGGAACCAAACCCAGGCTGTCAAAGTGGAGTGCACCGAACTTAACCACTAGGCCACGGGGCCAGCCTCCTATAACATGATTTTTTGAAGAAAAAGACAAAGGTGGTCACTAGGGTGCTGTTCCAAGCAACCTGCTCCAGGCTCCTGCCGTTCTCTCAGGACCTCCAACTCAACAGGCCCCTCCAACCAGCAAGTGAGGTGTACTATTGCAAGGATGAATGGAGGTTAATTAATTATAAGAAAACCCAGTGATAATGGATACAGGAAAAAAACATACTCATAATTAGTAAAAAGGATTTTCTCTTTTTTCTCAAAATATTAGAAAAAATAATAGCTCATATTTATAAATAATAAAAATTAGCAGCAATAAATTAAATGTTACAAGATGAAGTCACATAGACTCATCAATCTAAACAAAGTAGAATAAACAGAGCAATCAGAAGAGGAGAAAGGGGATTCGGTAATTCTTTTGTGGACATTTTCTTTGGCCAAGGATTCTGTGATACAACTCCAATATGCTGCCCCCTACCGCTGTTTATCCTTTGACTTTTGGCTTACTCATCACTTTAACTCCTTGAAAGGACATGATCTGTTTATGAAAATATTTGTAGCCAAAATGCAGGACCGTTATGCCTTTTATTTGTATATGTTTTGGGAGAAGATCTGAAACTCCATCAATTAAACACGTTTTGTAAGAAACTTTCCTTTATAGTGGAGCCTCGAAGAAAAGTATTCCCTAATACTCTGAGTAGGAGCTGATGTCAAAGAATGAGATCATGTAGGGCCTTTGACTTTCATACTGAGGACAACTAAGAGCCGCTGGAGCATACTGTACAGAGCAGTTATGGGATCTAATTATATTTTCGAAAGATCACTCTGGCTGATATATTGCGAGTAGAATGTAGGGGCCAGGCCAAAGTAGGAAGAGTAGTTGGCAGTCTTTTGCAGTAATCCAGATGAGAGATAATGGCGGCTTATAGGAGAGATAATGGTTGTGGTGGCAGTGGAAGGCAGTGAGCAATTCTGAATATAGTTTGAATGCAGGTTTCCTGAAGAACTGTATATAGTATGCATGAGAGAGAGAGAGAGAGATGGATTCAGGACAACTCCAAGGGTTTTGCTTGAGCAACTGGAAAAATAAAGCTCCCCTAACTGAGATAGGAAAGAATGCAGGGGCTACAGTTTGGGAGAAAAGATCAGGAGTTTGGTGTTTTGGATATGTTATATTTTGATGGGAAGTGAGAAGTTGGATATATGAGTCTGAAGTTCAGGAAAGAGGTTTCAGTTGAAGATAGAAATGAAGATTCATTAGCATACAGATGGTACAGTATTTAAACCCACCAGACTGGGAGATTGGATAAGATCACCAATGAAATAAGTTTTTCTATTGTTCCTACAGTACAGAATTTAACTGTCAGTAAATTCCTATCACATCAATTACAGGAGGTATTATATAATCCTAGAGGTTTCAGAAGTGTAATATCTCAGTAATTTGGGAACCAGTCAAAAGACTACCAAGCAGATCTAGGATCACATCAGATTTCACCCTTCATATACAATCCACTAACCAATCCTGTGGGTTCTACTACCATAGCATATCAAGTCTCTTTTTCTTGATCTCCTCTACTATTCACTAATTCCAAGCCACCATCATCTCTTACCTGGATTACAACAATAGCTTTGTATCTGGGTCTTGTTGCTTCTATTCTTACCTTGCTGCAGACTACCCTCCACCAGAATAGTCTTTTTAAAACACAGATCCTTGCTTGCAACTCTCCAATGGCTTCCCAATCTACTTGGAACACAAGCTGAACTCCTTATTAGGGTTTATAAGACCCTGTGTAATCTGGCCCCTGCTGATCTCTCTGATCTCATCTGAAAACTCTTTCCCTGTTCACAACATTCTAGGTACACTGGTCTTCTTCTAGTTCTCTGAGCATAACAAGATTGTTCCAGAAATGCAAGGCATTTGCACCTTTCTCTGGAAAGTCTCAGTTCAAATGTTGCTTCCTGAAAGAAATGTTGCTTCAGAAAGGCCTTCCTGAAGGATCTGAGTCCCCATGCCTGAATCTGCATTTTCCCTGGATGACGGCATTGGAAAGATTACAGGAAAATTTCTGGAAGTCACCGCTGGAAGTCCTATTATCAGACTTTGTTACCAATAAGTCTGATATTTACTCATGCTTGCCTGTTACCTCTAGGCCCCTAGCCTTCTTTCCTGCCCAACTGATAATATGTCAGACTCAACACATCTAACCATTTACCCATTTCAAAGGATATTTGAGAAAGATATTTCCTAATTAAATAATATTCGGGAAGGATCCAAAGCTGCAAATGAAAGAGTAAACAGCTCAGAAATGATGTATAAAATCTTTCTGAGAAAAAATGTTTGAAAAATTTAATCTTTCCAAAGTCCCAGAGCCAGGCCTCAGGGAGAAGTTGAGTTAATGTGGTATAATACTCCAAGTTTTTCTTTTCAGTTCTGTCTTAGAGGATCTCAATGGATATGGGAATCCCCTCAAAAGGAACAATGGAGAAAAGAAGAAAGAATCTTTCAATTAAAAGGGATAAAATGAGCCAATGCTTCTTGGAAGAATTCTTTGCTCTTGGGAAATAGACAGAGTTGCAGTAAATCATGATGGATGATCACAAATATTTATCTCCCTTTCCCACCAAAATCTAACCAAAATGACAACAAAGGAATAAAAATAGGTAATAACCTACAATGACAAAAATAGCTGGAAAAAGACAATAGTGGACAAGAGATTTCAAAATCTTTTGCTGGGGTCAGCCCAGTGGCATAGTGGTTAAGTTCACGTGCTCTGCTTCGGCAGCCCAGGGTCTGTGGGTTCAGATCCTGGGTGTGGATGCACCGCTCAACAAGCCACGCTGTGGTGGCATCCCATATACAAAATAGAGGAAGATTGGTAACAGATGTTAGCTTAGGGCCAATCTTCCTCACCAAAAAAAAAAAAAGAAAAAAAATCTTTTGCAAGATGGAAAGCAGACTAAGGATTGGTAACTGACTTGGCAGAGCTGAGGAAGGGAAGCAGAACTCTAATCCATGGCAGAGGCAGGGGGCACTTAGAGATTAGCCAATGTGGCCTACAAAATTCCTGAGAGGCTCAGCAATTGCAGACTCCAGGTGTCAATAAAGGCAGGGGTAAGGTGTGGTTCTGAAAATAAGGACTGCTTGAAAGCCTGAATAAAGCTGGAGCAGCTGGACTCCCAAGTATCTTCTTCTACACTGTACTCCTCTGGAGGGGAGTAAGGTTTGTTCTCCAGTGAAATTCGATCAAAGAAGCTCTGGTCTTGAGGAGATGAAGCACAATGGAGGGCAGAGGAGAGCATTACACACTCAACTGGGGCCTCTCAGCCCCCTTCCTTCCCCTTTCCTGTTTCCACAACACCAGTGCCTGTGTGTAAATTCTCCTTTCCCCCATCCCACCCTCCCTCCAGCTCAGCAGGAGAAGATAGGATTCTTCTCTCAGTACTCTGAATGGTCCCAGAGATATCTCTAAATTGTGGCTTCTGGGGATTCCCTAATGAAAATGCAGGCTAGGAGATGACTCTTGCAGTGAAACACACCAATCGACAAGAGCCATCCCCAGAAGCTTCCAACATTAAGGACAGAAGTCACAACAGCAACAGAAAAAAAGGAATCAGGGAAACAAAGACAATTCAGGTAGGAGAGGCAAAGACGCGAGATAAGAGGATATATTATACCCATGAGAAAAGAACAGAAGAC